GACGCACCCGGCACTTGAACGACCGCAAGTTCGTCTTTGAGTGGGACGCCTCCGAGGACACGTCCATCGACTACAACCCGCTGTGAGTAGGGCAGGGCAGACAGGGCAGCCCTGCTACGGACTGGGGGCTGGAGAGGCGGCTGGGGGTGCACAGGGGAGATGGAAGCACACAGGTGGAAGCACACAGATGGAAGTACAGCGGGGGGGAGAGTCGTCTAGCAGTGCTGGAGTTGTGGTCATCTAGTGAAGCAGGAGAGGGGTGCAGAGAGCCAGGACTCCTGGGTTCTGTCGCCCATTCTGGGAGGGGAGCGGGATCTAGTGGTTAGAGCTGGGGGGGGGTCAGAACTCCTGGATCCAGGAGGGGAGTCAGTTTAGTGGTTAGTGCAGGGCACAGCAGTGTGAGGGGCAAGATGCATCAGTCCCAGGGAGGGGAAGCTCCCTGCCCCAGAAGGGGGCAAAATAGCAGGTCGGCTACCTGTGTGGAGCAGTGGGAACCAAACCTGGCCCCAAGCCTGCCCCGCCGGTTCCCCCTCTGCCTGGGCTATCCTGAGATCTGCCGGGGTCCCAGGCCAGCAGGCTCCGTCTTCTCCCCCAGGTACAAGGAGCGGCACCAGGTGCAGCTGCTGGGCAGGGGTTTCATCGCTGGCATTGACCTGAAGCAGCAGAAGCGGGAGCAGTCGCGCTTTTACGGGGACCTGATGGAGAAGAGGCGGACGCTGGAGGAGAAGGAGCAGGAGGAGTGAGTGACCCGCTGGGGCGGGGGTCAGGCCAGGGCACCGCCACCTGCGCCCCGTGGCTTGGCCAAGGCTGGGTTTCCCCTTCCCCGACTCAGCCTTGCTGGGCCGGAGATCCCTGGCTGGGTGGGCTCTGGATGCCGGGACACAGAGTCCCTGTGGGCCTTGGGGCGGCCCAGTGCATGCTGGGACGTGTAGGGCTCGTTGGCGAGACCTGAGCTGCTCCCCTCCCTGGCGCCAGGGCCCGGCTGCGCAAGCTGCGGAAGAAGGAGGCCAAGCAGCGCTGGGACGACCGGCACTGGTCCCAGAAGAAGCTGGATGAGATGACGGACAGGGACTGGCGTATCTTCCGGGAGGACTACAGCATCACCACCAAGGGGGGCAAGATCCCCAACCCTGTCCGCTCCTGGAAGGACTCCTCCCTGCCCCCCCACATCCTGGAGGTGATAGACAAGTGTGGCTACAAGGTGAGAGCCGGGCTGAGCCCTGCAGCTTCTTGGGGGAAGGAGTGACTGGCCCTTTGCTATCAGGAATCCAGGTCCAAGCTTGGGTCTCGTTGCTTGGCCTGGAGGTGGGAACTGGGTCTGGACGTAGGGCTCTTGTCTCTGGTGGGGACGGGGGAATGCGAACGAGGGAGCCAGGGCTCCTGGGCAGAGCTGTCAGGTCCATAGAATGGTTTGGGGCAGCTTCCCTGGGCCTCGCACTTTGTCGTCCCCCCCGCCCTCCCGGAGGCTGCTCCAACCATCCTATCAACGCCCAGGGCAGTCTGGGGGATTACCAGGGAGCCTGGTGCCTGTAGCAGGGATCGCACTAGCAACCCAGCACCTGCTCTGCTCCGCTGCCATCTCCCAGCCAGGTGGCTTCACTTTCTCGCTCTCTGCACCAGGCCTCTTGGTAATCCCCTGGGTCACGTCTCTCTGGGGAGGGGCGGATGCATGGGAGGGGGCAGAGCTTGGGTGAAGAGATGGGGCAGAGGTGGGGTAACCCCGGGCCCTGCACCCCCTTTGGTTGCTCTGCTCCTCAGTTCAGTTCCCTGCCCCGTGCTCTCCTTGGTGAAAGGGACATGGGTCCGTCTCCATCCTGTGTCTCTGTTTTTCGCCTGCCCAGGAACCCACCCCTATCCAGCGCCAGGCCATCCCCATTGGCCTACAGAACCGCGACATCATCGGCGTGGCCGAGACCGGCAGCGGCAAGACGGCCGCCTTCCTGATCCCGTTGCTGGTGTGGATCACCACGCTGCCCAAGATCGACAGGTGTGGCCCGAGCAGGGGAGGGGTGGCTGGCTGGCCCGGGGGCGCCGGGGCACAGGAGGGCATTCTCTGGGTGTGGGAAAGGCTGGCTCCGGGGTGAAATGGTCCCACGGGTGCTCTATCGCCTGCAGGATCGAGGAGTCGGACCAGGGTCCCTACGCCATCATCCTGGCCCCGACTCGCGAGCTGGCCCAGCAGATCGAAGAGGAGACCATCAAGTTCGGGAAGCCTCTGGGGATCCGCACGGTGGCTGTCATCGGGGGCATCTCCCGGGAGGACCAGGGCTTTCGGCTGCGCATGGGCTGCGAGGTGAGTGCCGTGGCTGGGGGCGGCCGGGGCCTGGGCCCTGCGGGCTCTGAGCCTCTTGCTGTCCCCTCAGATCGTCATCGCCACACCCGGGCGACTCATCGACGTGCTGGAGAACCGCTACCTGGTGCTGAGCCGCTGCACCTACGTGGTGCTGGACGAGGCGGACAGGATGATCGACATGGGCTTCGAGCCCGACGTGCAGAAGATCCTGGAGCACATGCCCGTCACCAACCAGAAGCCCGACACCGACGAGGCCGAGGATCCTGAGATATAGGATGTTACTCAGATCCCTTCACCAATGTAGATCAGGTTCAGGAAACAATTCTTGCTAGTTTCTTTGCCCACCTGAGTAGTCCAAATTCAGTGCATTCAAATTTAACATCCCAGTCATGATCCCAATATTGGGCATAAGGTACATCTGGATTACATCCCTCTTTCGAAAGAGGGATATAAATTAGAGATATTGAAATTGCAAATGAAGCCGGGATTTGAATTTCCTGTGCTTCATTTGCATAATCACACCATAGCGTTTTTTCAAAAAACGCTATTTTGAAAGTGAAACCTCAGTCTAGACACGGTTCTTTCAAAAAGAAAAGCTTTTTTTCTAAAGATCCTGTACAGGTTTACAGGAAAAAGGCTTTTCTTTTTGAAAGAACCGCATCTAGACCATGGTTTCACTTTCAAAATAGCGTGTTTTTCAAACAAACGCCGAGATGCGATTATGGAAATGAAGCACGGGAAATTCAAATCCCGGCTTCATTTGCAATTTGGATCTGTCTAATTTATATCCCTCTTTCAAAAGAGGGATGTAGTCTAGACATACGTGTGTGTATGTGGAGGGGGGGGGTGTCTCTGGCGGGGGGGGGCCTGATTCTCTGCCTGCTGACCCAACAGGAAGAAGCTGCTGGCCATCCTGGAGCAGGGCTTCGACCCGCCCATCATCATCTTCGTCAACCAGAAGAAGGGCTGTGACGTGCTGGCCAAGTCGCTGGAGAAGATGGGGGTAAGTGCCAGCCCCCGAGGGGTGTCAATGGTCGCCATGCAGGGCCAGGCAGGGCTCACTGGCTCTAGGGGACCCCAGGGCCCAAGCTCTTGTCTGGTGGGTCCCCGTGCTGCTCTGTGGGTCGGGTGCGCTGGGCAGAACCCCTGGGGACCGTTCAAGGAGGGTCGGGTGGGAAGCCGGCCTGCTGCCGTGGGGTCGGCTTGGCTCTCCTGCTTCCCGGGGACTGGCCCG